TGCTTGTTGGAACATGGTATCTGTGTCAGGAAGAGGCTAGGGCTGTTGGCAGCCATCCTAGTTTGGACTGAGCACAAAAACATGGGTCCAGTGGTCAATTTCTGCTATGGGTTGGATCCTGAAAGTACTGCCCTGTTGCCCATGCAAGGGCAGGAACTTCAGCCTTATTGGGGCTTCTGCAATGGAGCCATCAAAGCCTGAAGATGAAAACACGACAGCCTCAGGCCAGGACACATGCACCAACCATCTGGTGGATGGGCTTCTGTGACTGGTCCAGCATTTCCTTCCGCTTCTTCTTCAAAAATGTCACCGTCATCCCCTGAAGATGAGGAATCTGACTCAGGGGTCATGGCACTACCCCATCGGCCACCAACAGTCCTACCACAGATGTAGTGCTGGGATTTAAGTGTGGCGCACCATGGTGGCATAAAGGATTCTGACGGCAATTTTATTTGATTCATTAATATATTCTTTGGGAAACATTGCCATCACTGCACAAGTAAGTTCAGATTTTCATGCTATTTTATTTCCCCCCCAAACCCCACGGCAATGATTTTTATCCCATTTGCTGCAGCCGAGTTTCGAAGTGCAAGCCATATCTTTAATGATAATTAGACACCACATTACTTAGTCTTCCTGTCCCCGTGTAAATAACAATTAGCAATAATTTAGCAGTTGTATGCTCCAGCATCTTCTCTAAACCATGCCATTGTATCCCACTCCAGATTCCTTTGCATTAATTAGGATCATAAGCCAATCAGAGCTAATTAGGAAGAAAATAAGTATAATAATAAATGAAACAAAGCTAGTGATTTGTATCTGTTTGGTAGCTCTCTCTCCCTCTGCAGTTCAGCAAATAGCCGTAATGCAGAGGAACTTCTTCTAATTGAATCTAATTATGAGGTTTCCCTTGCTACTTTGAGCCTCCTGTTCAAATCCCACGAAGCTCATTAAATACCCAACAAAGCTGGAATCTTCAGCACGTACTGCAACTTGCTTCGTCTTAATTGGTACCTTGTTGTAAAGGTAGTAAGGCGTACCATAGCAAAAAGCACTGCTGCTGGGATGCTCCCCATAGAGGTGAAGCAACACCCGAGTCAGATGAACTGGTGGTATTTTGAATCGAAAAGAATTCCCGAGAAATGGGACGAGGCTCACCACCAAAATGGCAACTGAAATTAAATCCAAGGCAAGCTGGGCATATGAGGCATTTTGGAGACTAATGGAATGTCACACACCTTTGGCACATCTCTGGGCTGTCAGCGGATTTCACTAAAGGCGAAATTCATAGGGCATTTGCGAGAAGGAAAAAAGGGACACGGGTGGCGCTGTGGGTTAAACCACAGAGCCTAGGACTTGCCGATCAGAAGGTCAGCGGTTCGAATGCCTGCGATGGGGTGAGCTCCCGTTGCTCGGTCCCAGCTCCTGCCAACCTAGCAGTTCGAAAGCACGTCAAAGTGCAAGTAGATAAATAGGTACCACTCCAGCGGGAAGGTAAATGGCGTTTCCGTGCGCTGCTCTGGTTTGCCAGAAGTGGCTTAGTCATGACCCACATGACCCAGAAGCTGTACGCCGGCTCCCTTGGCCAATAAAGCGAGATGAGCACTGCAACCCCAGAGTCGGCCACAACTGGACCTAATGGTCAGGGGTCCCTTTACCTTTACTTACAAGAAGGAAAACTCAACCCTGCCTCAGACCCACCAACCCATCTTACCAGCTCTTAAGGCCTCTCGTGTCGGGGGCAAAGGGAACGCTTGTTTCCTATTTCTCCTCACCCAAATAATCAAGCCATACTGAAATTCCCATATACCTCTTCTCATTATTTTGTTAAGAATCTAGTCTGTTCTTTCCATTTTGCCCTCCCCAACTTGGAGAAATTCCTGCAGGAACACTTGCAAATGGCCTCAGTAAATCATGGCTTGCTTAGCTAAAGTGTGGTTCATCTGAAATTGCCAGCCCAGCACAAATTGCCAGCCCAGAGTTTGTTTTCTGCCAGCAAACCACAATGCAGAGCCATGGTTTGTTGTAGGCTTATGAACCACGGCTTGTTTGAACCATGGTTAGCTGTTACGTCTGAACTCAGCAGCCTCGCTTAACCATGGTTTCTTAGGCTACCCCATCCCAGGCGCTCCCCAAGCTACAAAGGACTGAGCAGCTGGGAAACGGACCAGGCTTAGTTTTCATTGTGAGATGACTTATGATTCATTGAAAAAAACTGTGGTTAAAATAAACCCCTGCTTAGAATTCTTTGTGACCACAGCTAGTAGTCTCGGCTGCTCCTGGAGTTAAGAGCTGGGATGGAAAGAATTGTGGCTACCGTTTCAGGATTTCTTGCAAGTGTCTCTGGATGAGTACTTGAGTACCCTTCAATGATCTCTACTGTGCTACTTGCGGGAGGGGCAACAAGTTACAGCAGCACTCATTACAACAAGGGCCAATTGCTGCTTCAAAGAACATTTCTGAATGGTCTTTTGATTCTTAAATGTCCCCTCTCCAGCCCATGAGCTACTGCCTGATTGCAAACCACGGACCTCCCTGCTAAGATTTTCGCGTTCCCAAATCTAATTCTGTTGCCGAGTCTCTGTGCGGCTTGGGTAATAGTTTAAATCTGTGTTTTCAATTTCCCCGACTGCATAAAATGAATATGACAATATTCTATCTTGTTAATCTCTTGGCACTTATCTCTGGATTAGAGTTACTCACCTGCCTCGCAGCAGCGTCCTGAGGATTCATTAACTTAATGTTCATACAACTCTTTGAATATGTAAAGCACCACTGAAGTGGAAGCGTTATAATCATCTCACTGTTTAGACACATAAGCTTTGATCCTCGTGAAGAGGGTGCAGGCTGATCGCAGGGAGCCAAACAGGTGATGGCTGACTTAAAACCCTCCGCTCGCTATTTGCAGAGGCCAAAAATATAGAGCGAATGTAGGAACGACTCCAGCTGGCAGATGGCAACAGGTTTCAAGGACTGTGAGGCATGGGAGCATGTTTCCTGCTCCACTATTCAGTGGCATCACTTTGCACTGAATGCTAGTACCTGTCCCTCAAAAGCTTTGACCTTTGCATCTTTTGAGCAAAACTACAAAATACAAAAGTTCCTCACCAATGGAAGCCCCCATAAGGCACTGTTTCCCTAACTTCTGACACCCAAGTTGCACTTTTGGTTCTGATTTCAAACTGGAGAAACCCTTTGCATGTAATCTTGGGCAAAGAAGGCACTAAAGAGAAGAGAGCCAGGAAAAACAACAACAGTATTTAAGAAGGAGACCATCACAATGCCATTGCTCAGAAGCTCGTCGGAAGTCCAACTGATGCAAATAGTCCTCTTTGCCCCTGGACAATGAGAAGACCAGCCATTCTGGGAGGGTATATTTCTCCAGAGCAATGTCTTGTGTCAGAGGTGGCCAAAAGAATGTCATTGGTATTGCATTGCCTTATTTTTTATGTACGCCTGCTGGGAAATCCTTCTCGGGATTGAAAGGCAAGGTAGAAAAACCTACACCATACTCTAACACCCTCAAAAGATTTCTGTTTCAGCATGAGTCATTGTTTTTGGCAAGCCTACCCTGAGGCCAGACAAATCCTTTTGCCTCTCTGCAGACTGAAGTGATTCGATCATACCAGATCCTGAAGCGTGGCTGAGACAATTTCCCCCTGAAGGCTCACTGGGAAGAGGTGAAGCCAGTGTAGTGAATCACACAGAGACACAACAGGCAACTGCCATCAATATATTTCTTGTGGCGTGTTGCTAGCGTATCTCCTAACAGGCACAGCTCATCATAAGTGATATTTGAAAAATGAAATGCACAAAATGAGGCATGCTTATTGTTTGGAAAACTTGATTTTGCAGAGGGAGATGGCTATGGAAATAAGAAATTATCACGCAACTGGAGGAATGCTCCAGGCGATTCTACTCAATGCAGAAAACCTGGGGGGAGATTATCCCTAGCAAGAGAGCTGTCCAGGCCTTGTTTGGAGACTTCTAGTGAGAGAGAACCTATCTAGGGTCTTTGGTTCCAATGTCCAGTATTCTAACCTTCAAGAGATTACTTTGGATGTTCAAGCAAAATATATCCTCATGTAGCTTAAGTTCATTACATCCAGTCGTGCTCTCTGGGGCAGTAGCGAACAAATGTGATAGACCTTCCATATCATGTCAGTATATGTCAGCTGTATCCTTATTACATTTCTCGCTCCTTAGACATGTACTTCTTTTGGGTGACATGATTTTGATGGTGGTGGTTGTGGGTTGCTGATTCTTCTTCTCGTACTCCTACGCAGTTCAGGGGCAAATGAAATAGTTTAAGATGACCTATGGGTCTTTTCCAGACATGCTTTCCACAGTTCTATGAAAAGCCACATTCTGCACGCTTTTCAATTGCAGGGAAAACATTATTCTTGGCTGGCTATTTGTGTTTGAAAGATATCACTGAAATGACAGGCTTCTGATTTTCCCTCCTAACATTTTTTTTTAATGTTTTAACAGGAGAAGGGGATATTAGAAACTTGATGTCTATAAATGGCTCTGTCTGTGCTTCACAAAAAAAAACCTGTGGATTTTCAGTCGGCAAGTTCAATTCTGCTTGAACAGATGACTGAGATTAGTTTGACACAGCTGAGGAAATTGTTGGAAGGGCAGCTAGGCCCGTATGAACCACACACACAGAGACATCTCTGCACACACACAAACACACAATTAGGTGTGAGAATCGTCTCTGACTCTACTAGGAGAAGCACTCTGCCACAAATTTCCCTGGACATTCAGACAGCTTCCAAACTTTTAATCATAAAAGTAATGTAGTATTAAAGTGGATGTTGTTCCAAAAGCTGTAAGAGAAATACGTTGTGGGATTCCTCCTTGCTTTTCTACTACAAAAGGCCTAAGTGGGGCTTGTATGGACAATAGTACTGGAAAGTGTTGGAATCATAGAATTGTGGACTTGGAAGGTACCACAAGAGTCATCCAGTCCAACCCACTGCAATGCAGGAATCTTTTGCTCAACATGGGACTCGAACCCACAACCTTGAGTTTAAGAGTCTCATGCTCTACTGACTGAGCTACAATGGCTTGTATCCAATGCTATTCAGAATAGACCTGCTGGAATGGATAGACATGCCTAATGTAGCTCCATCCATTTCAATGGGTCTACTCTGCGTAAAACGTCGTTGGCTACAACCCAGTTATTCCCAACCCACCTGCACAGTAGCACAATTGCGTCGGCATGAATCCTAACATTTTAAGAGGAAATCGCTATTTAAAAGAAAATAAGTCTTTTGGCAATGCTTCTCCATATTATCATTCATATTGTGTCGCATTATTTTAATATATTGCTCATGGCCTTGCAGAAGGGGAGGCAAATAAACAGCAGCAATTATAAAGTCCATTTGATAAGAAAGGTGATAGTCGCAAGTTCCTTTGCCAGTATCCTGACCCCTCTCAAATGTAACCCCCCCCCCATGGAAGCACACTTTCTCTACTCACACCACAGCACACATTTTGAAATATTTTATGATGGAATGTAAAGGGGCAAACAAACGATTATCCCACATCAAGGCTATCTCATGTCCTTTCTTTGAGGCATCAGTTCAGCTTTCTCCGAAGGGCTGTGCAGTGCTGTTGTGGAGATGCTGATTAGGTCCATGCAAGAGACCGCTTATAAGCATTACTATAGGCTACATGTAGATCAGTGGGGCATGGGTGGAGCTGTGGTCTAAACCACTGAACCTCTTGGGCTTGCCGATCAGAAAGTCGGCGGTTTGAATCCCTGCAACAGGGTGAGCGCCCGTTGCTCTGTCCCAGCTCCTGCCAACCTAGCAGTTCGAAAGCACACCAGTGCAAGCAGATAAATAGGTACCGCTGCAGCAGTAAAGTAAATGGCATTTCTGTGTGTTCTGGTTTCCACCACTGTGTTCCATTGTGCCAGAAGCGGTTTAGTCATGCTGGCCACATGACCTGGAAAGTTTTCTGTGGACAAACGCCGGCTCCCTTGGCCTGAAAGTGAGATGAGCCCCGAAACTCCATAGTTGCCTTTGACTGGACTTAACCATCCAGGGGTCCTTTACCTTTACCTTACATGTAGATCAACCTCTAACCAGAAGCATTTTTGACAGCCTTCAATACCTTCTGTGGGGTACGACACTGAAGTCCCTAACTCACCAAGGGTTTGAGACTCATTGGCCACACTCACCTGATTTAACTGGCCAGTTTGAAGGCATTTCCGTGGTGTGGCTGTCGTTTGCATGCTGACAGCTTCTAGGAGCCACAGGTGAGAGCTGAGTGCAAGGTGGAGACTAAAGGTGGACAAACAACCTCAGAAGGAGCCCATCATAACCCCCAACAGGTGTACTACCCATCCCCTAAGACCCCATACACCCCACCCCCAGACCACAGGCCTGCGATTTCAAGGTAATGCAGCCCCATCTAGAGTGGGCATCCTACGGAACAGGAAATATAGGAAGCTATCTTATATTGTTGTCAGTTTGCATTTCTTAGTACAGAAAGTATTGATTTGATGTGTAGAGATCTTTCCCATTCTACTTAATTCAAGAGGGCTCTGGAAGCTTCTCTGTGTGAAAGAAGCAAGCAGAAGGTTCATGCTGCTTGGGTTATTCCTTCAGAGAAGCTGAATACAGCTGGTTTATTTTGGTTCTGTTATCTCTTCTGTCAAGGTGATGCTGACAGAAGGAGCCTGCGTTTCACACTTTCTCTTTCTGTCTCTCTTCTTTCTGGTGTGGTGTTCTGTACATAGTGTTAAGGTTTAGACTTATTATAAATTATTGTAGGTTTAAGTTAAGTCTGCCGCAACTGGATTTCTTATGGACAGTGCCAATACTGAATGTATTGGATTTGTGACCATTATGCTCATTTGCCTTCAGTAGCAGTAAAGCTCTGCTGGATGAAACACAGTTGGTCTACTTTTTGGGAATCCTGCAAAGTGTTTAAGTTGTTACTCTGCTAACTACAGCAGAGACTGTACTTTTTGAGAATACTAAGGAAAAACCATCTTCCGCAGAAACTGCTGCTTGCCTTCTATCACTGTGCCATTGAGAGCGTGCTCACTTATGGCTTATGTGTGTGGTACGGAAGCTGTACTACCCAGGACAGGATGGGGTTGTGCAGGGTTGTTAAGGCAGCAGAGAGCATTGTTGGCTGCCCACTCTCTACCTTAGAGCAGATTTATGCCACAAGGTGCCATAGGAAGGCACTGGACATAGTAAAAGATCCATCGCATCCTGGTCACTGTCTCTTCGCGCTCTTGCCGTCGGGACGGAGATACAGGACGATGAAGACAAGAACGAGCCGTCTTAAGAACAGCTTCTTCTCCAGAGCGATCTCGGCCCTGAATGGGAAGCCCGGACTTTGAAAGTCATCTAATCTCCCTTGCTGTATTATACTGTATTGATTAATCAGTGTTTTTATGGAGCAGTCAAGTAATTTCATTGTCCCCGAAGGGGGCAATGACAATAAAGATATTATTATTATTATTATTATTATTATTATTATTATTATTAATTGGAGTTCTGCTCTGGATTAATATTGAGTAGAAGTCCGTGGCAATTGTATCAACTGGTCCACTTAGATCTGCACTGTGTACACTGACTGGCAGTGCTTTGCCAGGGTTTCAGACGCTTCCAGCCCTTGCTGGATATGATGGGCATTGAATCTGGGGCAGATGCTTTACTGCTGAGCTATGGGAGACTTGGTAACCACCAACCCACAAGGCTTCCATCTTGGGCTGTAAAGTTTCAGATCGTATTCCTGCACCATCTTTTGAGTACGCGACCCCATTAATTGCATGAAAATAATGCCAGGCCCAAATGGCTGCAGAAGACACAGTTATCCTCCTGGCACAATGCCCAAATTACTGCTCCCACCCAAACAAAGTGGAATGCAAAACCGTCTTTTGCTTATTGCACCTGTGCGGTTTTGTTTTATTGCTATGTGTTCCAAATTGAGACGGAAAAATGGCTGGCCACGAAGCTTTAACCGTTTCCCTGTTGCAGCATGAAATGTGCAGTGTCAAATAATATCCTCCAAGCCGATTAGGCCTAATTCTGTAGTATGCTAAATATGGATTATCAAAGCAATTACTGCCAATTCTGTAGGGTGGCTGCAAGAGCAGCTGTAGCAGAGACTTGCTCACGATTGAAGATTTCCATACAGAAAGAGAAAGGGAACTTTCGTCCCCATCTCTCTGTGCCAAGGAAGCTTTAGGGTTTAATACAGGCCTTGAAACCCGTTTGGTCTAGTTACCTTCATTGAGATTCCGAACATGGCAACATCAGCTACTTATCTCATTAATTTACTTAATGGGAGCGTGGGAAGAAATCTTGTTTCCATCTTGAAGATGGGGCTGTGACAAAAAATGTTTTAGACAAGGCCACCAAGTTGGGTTGCGATGTAGTCCCAGGGGGTATCAGATCCAAGGCCACCTGCCTGCTAATTGCTTGTCCCAGCAAATCTCCCCAAACAGCAACTAAGCTGTAAAACAACCACATTTGCAGAAACCGATGTAGGGGAAAAAAAGCTTCTTTGTCCTGTTCTATTTTCAAAACAGAATTGGCCAAATCAGGAATTTCAACTCCAGACTTCATCTCCAATGTGCGGAATGATCTCAATTTTGAATGATTCTAGGATTATTATTTTTTGCTATCTGTGCTATTGTTTCTCAGTTCTACTTTCATGTCTGGTTTTGATGTGACGTTAACCATATTTGTGCATGTGATACTGTATTGTTAATTGCTCTCTCTGCATTCCCACTGTGAGGAAGGGTGGGTTCTCAGTAAGGGGAAGATCTGGAAGTATGAGTAAAGCCTTAACATTTTGTCCATGTGCCCAGGTCTTTACTGGGGCTTTGTTCCGTTATCTATTCAATTCCTGCCAGGTTTCATCTGGAAATATTTCATTGCATTATGTTTTATTAATGTAGCGTATTTTTAAAAATTTGTGCACCACCTCACACCATTTGCAAGAGGCACTATAAAAATACAGCCATACCTCATGTTACATTTGCTTCAGGTTGAGCGTTTTCAGGTTGTGTCCTGCGGCGACCTGGAAGTACCGGAAAGGGTTGCTTCCGGGTTTCGCAGCTTGCGCATGCGCAGACACTCAAAATGACGTCACGCGCATGCACAGAAGCAGCGAATCGCAACCCATGCACGCGCAGACGCGGGGTACTTTCTGCTCATGTTGTGAACGGGCCTCCAGAACAGATCCCATTCGCAACCAGAGGTACCACTGTAATTTAATCTCTTAATAAGTAAGAAATGCAAAATGCTGCTCTACTCAAGTCAGTGATCTGCTCAGATGTGCTCTGAAAGTGATGATCTTCCCAAAGAGTCCAAGCACCCCAGTGTCTATGAGAAGAAGAAGAAGAAGAAGAAGAAGAAGAAGAAGAGGAGGAGGAGGAGGAGGAGTTGTTGTTTGGACGATATCCCACCTTTCACTCCTCTTAAGGAGTCTCAAAGCAGCTAACAATCTCCTTTCCCTTCCTCCCCCACAACAAACACTCTGTGAGGTGAGTGAGGCTGAGAGACTTCAGAGAAGTGTGACTAGCCCAAGGTCACCCAGCAGCTGCATGTGGAGGAGCGGAGACACAAACCCGGTTCCCCAGATTATGAGTCTATCGCTCTTAACCACTACACCACACCGGCTCAGTTTATGAGTGTTCTACCAAGGTGTTCAAGGTGGATGGCAATTTTTAAATACTAAAAAAACCACCCTTCCCTCACAGAGCTACAATTCCAGACTGGCTTAACACTCAATGGAGGCTTTCTGCTTGATGGTAGTGAGACGTGAGCACCTGACACCCTCCGGAAGTGACACATCAACCCTTCCATGTCAGGAACATTTTGGGGATCAAATGGCAAAGAAGAATCTCAAATAAAGATAATCTCTCCCTAGCCCACATTCCTAGCATGTTCACACTCCTGTCGTGGTAACGTCTACATTGCCTTAGTCACGTCCATAGAACGGAAGATGCCAGGAGCTCCAAAGGACGTGCTCTAGGGGGAACTGGCTTCAGGCACCAGGCCCGTTGGCAGCCCAACTCTGTGTTACAAAGATGT